CCAAGCTTCTCACGTTTGGCTTACGCGGCAGAGGGAGGGAGGGGAGGAAAAGAAATCTAAGGACTGTGGGTTCTCCAAGTAACACCTTAGGCTAGTGGATCTCTGGACCTTAGCAAAGAACGTGAAAGGCTCACACTTTCTTTGGGAGCACCTCCCCCCCAACAAAAGCAAAAAGTAATCTCAAAGATTTCTGTAATTTTTTATGTACACTGTTTTATGCAGGATTCTACACAGCCAGAAGAAGTCATTTGTCCAACACTTACAATCCTAATTTTTTCTAGTCCTGTATATTGTATATTCACAGTTCTATATGTATGTATACATATATGTATTTTTGAATAACATTATTTCAAATTTGTCGTTTCTTGTTTGTAGTTGCACATAAATATTACATATAAACCATATATATTCCCAAATTGTTATAAATTGGAAAACATTACAATAGCCAATTCTCTAATCAGTTACCTTTTTTCTATTTCTGGAAGATAGGATAATTTTTTAAAAAATAGTCATCTTTTAAATGGATCTGAGGTTGTGTTACCAGAGAAATACTTTAAAATACTGAAAGTGGTAAGTACTAATGACATATTTCATTTTATATGTTTATATACTTACATATATGTATATGTGTGTATATATGTGTACGTAAATTTATATCACATACATACATACACACTTTACATGCAACAGAAATAACATAGTCTTGGGTATATTTTAGTTTTAGTTCTCGGTTTTATTTTACAAGCACATCACAAAAAATAATTCAAACTATTATGGAAGATTGCCCAGTTATTCTAAATTATTCAAAATAGAATCCCCTGAAGCTATACTCTTTGCTTATTAACATGATGACTACAGTCAGTTTGCAAAGAATTTTGCATTTACAAATATCCCTGTATCCTGCAGTTTCGGTTCTCCACCCTTATTAACATTACTTTTATATGTAGTTTTCATATGAAGCATTTTTTAATAAAGTAGTTTTAATGGAACAAGAGGAAACATTACATTTTTTATGAGCATAATCATGTTGTGCTTCAAGTTAGCACAAATAAATCTCATTTAGGATGTTATTATTCCTCACATAAAATATTCTATTAATACTTTTTATGACAAGCTCTTTGATGTGTAAGAATTAAACACAAAGGGTTAGTGTCCCTCAGCTATTAAAAGCTGAAAGGAATCAAAAACATGGGCACTAATACCTAAATAGAAAAATAAATAAGTAGCAAATTGAAAAGAAAATAACAAGACCGTGTTTCAAAAACTCAGCTTCACTAGTAAACAGTTATCGTATGGGTAAATTGAAATGAGATTTTACTTTGCATCTGCTAAATTGCCTGACTTTTGAAATGGTGATGCTCAACTCTATAGGGTCATGGTCAGAGTGTTCTACTCAACATGAGGTGTACAAGTTGGCATATCCCTTATAGAAATGAACTTGGCTATGTAAGTCAATAACCTTCAAAATATTTAAACTCTTTTATCCAAGTTTGCTCTCATAATAATTTTTCATAAGGAAATAATCAGAGTTTCATAAAAAGACTTATGCTTATTGTGCTTATTGGTGCTCATTTGAGAACTAACTGAAATATTACACACAAAATATTGACACATAGTATTAGGCAAGATACTAGCTTCCCCCCTCCCCCACAGGGTAGAGAGTCATATAAAAATTTATCTCAACTTGAGAAAAAGGCAAACTAATTACTGCATGTCTTTTCAATGATATAATGGAGCATTGTCTAATAGTTCTTCACAAAGGTTATCCAGTCTTCTGGAAGAATGCATTTTTTTTAAACATAACTATTTACAACTGATTAGGCCAAGACTTGTGAAATTAGACGTAAAGTTGTAAAATAAATAAATAAATAAATAAAGGAAAGTTGCAAATGACTTTTGTTTTGTTTGGGAGCCATACAATAATTTTTATCTAATAGGAAGATAACTCAAAAGGTTATAGCTTTATTGCCTCATGGAACGCCAACCAAATTTATATCTAAATTTTATGTCAGCATTCTTTCTTTAATTCACTAACTATATATAGCAATCTTTCCTATCCTCTTTTGGACCAGTATTATAATTCAGCTGAATTCTTCATTAAAATCAATCTTTGATACTTTCCCACTATCTGTTTGTCTGAAATTCATACATTTCAGTTTTTTGAAATTATGCTTTGAAAAACTCTGAGCCTGCATCAGTCCTTTCCTGAATCAAGAGGAAGTCTTCATAGAAGAAAGATAGTTAATTACTTCTCTATACAATCCCTACCTTTCTTAAAAGACAAAATATGTGAAATGTGTTTTGATAGTAGTTAGAATGTCCTTTCACTCAACTGTAAGTATGAAACTCAGCCAGAGTAGATAGAAAAGGTATATCTCCTTATGTATTTAAATTAACATGAAAATTCAACATGAGTGTACATTATACTTGATAATAGAAGAATGAATGAATGTTCTCCTCAATCAAATGAAGATTATTTGATCTGTGATTGAGTTTATATCAGAAGCTAAACACTGTTAAAACACGTATTCTGATAGAAAAGCCTGTTTTTGAAGGAGATAAAACAAAAATAAATGTATCAATTCTTGGTCTAGTTCAGTCATAGACCCAGCCTCTCTTCATATTAGGAAGTCTTTTTTTATTGATTTTCTCCAGTTTTATTGAGATATAATTGGCATACATCATTGTATACATTTAAGGTGTACAGCATAATCGTTTGACTTACATATATTGTGAAATGATTACTGCAGTAAGTTTAGCTAGCATCTGTCATCTCATATAGAAACAATAAAAAGAGAAAGCAAAAAAGAAAATTATTTTTCCTCGTGATGAGAACTCTTAGGGTTTACTCTCTTAACAACTTTAAATATATTATATACCAGCGTTAATTATAGTCATCATGCTGTACATTACCTCCCTAGTACTTATTTATCTTGTAACTGGAAGTTTGTACCACCTTCCTCCAATTACCCCTCCCTCTCTACCCCTACTTCAGATGACCACATTCAAGGCTTTTCTAACATCTGATGTCATTAAAAGGGTAGCTGATATAAGTAGAAGGGTTAAGAGTATGAGTTTTGTAGCTTCATAGACAGGGATCCAAGTCATAGTTCTGCCACTTCTTAGTAAAGATCTTGGATTAATTACTTAACTGGACTGAGCCTCAGATTTTTGATCTGCGAAGTGAAGAAACTAGTAATAATGTGCTCTCGTTTTTCATTAAATATAAGTTTAAAAGGATTTTTTTTCTTTTCAAAAAATAGTCTAGTGCAGATGTGTTGTATGCTTGCTACTAGGGGTTTACTCTTCACATTTTAATGACTAAATTGGCTTCCTGGTATATGTAATTATCATACACATCTGTGCTGGGAAGAGCCAGTTTTCCCCAAGGCCTGCATGAAAAAACAGCAGAGCTGAGGTTCTAGATCATGAATTATGCACAGGTGATTGACTCTGAGCCAATCTGTCACCATCTACGTGGTAATCTGTGAGGAAATATACTACATAGCATGTTAAAGTCGGTCAGTTTATCTGATTTACTCAAAACCTCACTTTTCCGTTAAGAAAAAAAATAACAAGCTAGAGAACCTGTTTCGTTTGGACAACAGAGAAGAAAGCAGCAATAATTAAAACTGGCCAGAAGAGTGGGATCTGAACTTGAACAAGAATCTTTGGACAATCAAGATGGGGCAAAAGGGCCCCATGAAGAACAGAGCTGTTTATAGCAAAAGGTGGGAAATCTCAAAGAAATGAGTGGAGAGTAAATGATTAAACTGAATTCTAGAGTTATTGTCATTACTATGATTTTTATTCCAGTGAATGTCTTCGGGGGTTCTTTCCTACTTTAAGTTTGCTCATGGTGATGGAAATCACATCTAAAAGTTGGAATGGATGCGTGTTTTCTCAGAATCATTTAAAGAATGGATGTAGGTGTCTTGGGTTTTGAAATAACCTCTCTAAAAGATTGTGAGCATGGGAGAAATAGCAATCTTGAGTAATTTAGGAAAAGCCCAGCAGCAGAGATTCCATTTTAGCTCTAAGATTCTACAGTGGCAATGTTCTTTTGATTCTCAAAAAAAGTTTTAAATGGCACTCCTAAGCTTTTGTAGGACTTATATCATCGTATGTCTGATTAGTCATCCAGCTTCAATAGGTGGCTCCAAGCTTTTAATTAATTCAACGGTATTTGAATAGCTGACTTGTTGGTTGTTGGCCCGATACCTGTGTCTTAAATAAAAGGTCAGATTTCTTCACTGAGTAGCCGTGGCTATTATTAACTCTAAATGAGATAAATTGGCAAATCCATATAAGGGCAGCTGCTACTAGAAATTGCTCAACTTCAAAGAAAGTGTTGTGAAACATAGATACTTTAATAAAATGAACTGGGTGCATATGAATAGATAAACGCCCTCAAATACACATTCACTTGCTGTAGGAAATAATAGAATCGTAATAAAGCATTTTTATGTCTGATATCTCACTTGATCCCAACATGGTCAGCAGAAGAGAAAATATTGTTTCAGTTTTATGAATAAGAAAACTGAGGTTTAGAGACATGTGATTTAACCATTACTCAAATCAAAGCACAGACTGGAATCA